AAGTTTTCTCAAGTTGAATCAAGTAAGTTTCTCTAAGTTTGAGTCAAGTTAGATCATCACAGAATCAGCCAAGTAAAACCATCTCAGTCTGATTCAAGTGAGTTTCTTTCAGGTTGAGTCAAGTTATGCCATCACAGAATCAGTCAAGTAAAATCATCTCAGTCCGAGTCAAGTAAGATCATCTCAAGTTAAGTCAAGTAAGTTTTCTTAGTTTGAATCAAGTAAGTTTCTCTAGGTTTGAGTCAAGTTAGATCATCTGGTATAGAAAAAGAATAATTCAACATAATCCAATTTGACACCGACAAAATTCTGCAAATTTTACAATAACAACTGACAATTAATCATCATAAATCAACAATAAAGAAAATTCCCAGAAGATAAAAAATTCAAAGAATCACCCAGAATTCACTACAAGTTCCTCATTTTCTTCATTCACTCAAAATATGAAGTAAAATAAGGATTATTTTTCTCTCACATTTTATTTCTCTCTCTCTTTATTTCATCATTGTTATTATTACTTCACAAAACTATTGTTCAAATTGAAATGAAATCGTCAGCAATTGAATAACAATAAGGAATTTCTTTCTCTACATGTGGAGATATTGATGATTGAGTCATCATTGGCAGCAGTCCAAGAAAGAAGGAAAAAAAATTCTACATTGTTAGCCATGCCTTATGGGAGATGCTAAACCAAACAAAAATCATTTCATGCATTAAATGGGACTTTAATGCGATCAGCTGAAATTGATTTTTATAGCTTTTTCTAGCCATCATCTTTCATAATAAATATATTATATATTTGCCATGGTCCATTATCGATTCTATCCATTACACGCTCACTTATCGTATCCGACTATTTTTTTCACTATGTCATCTTCTGCTTGTGATGTTCCTTCAAATGATATAGTCGGACGGTATCGTCAACTGGTAAATTAAATTTGATAGCGATAGATTGCTGAAGAGATTTTAAGATTGAAAATTTTTTATCTCTCTTTTTGCAATTTTATACCACTTAAGCTTTATTGCAGAATCTGCAGGTCAAGAAGATACGAGTGTGCTTTTTAGTTTTGATGGAGGAAGAAGATGAAGTAATGGAGGAATTATGAATGCATTTTGACTTGAGGAGATATGATGAGATTGGAATTAAGTATTAGATCTTTGGAAGTGTCTGCTGTTTGAGTGACAGTTGGAAGGCTTTAGGTATGTCAATCTATGTACAGAGTTATGAGCTACCAGCTAGGGAAGCATGTAAAGTATCTAGCACTAAAATATTTGGGGCCTCAAAAAAACATGATGGGGTCGAACTTCTTTTTAAGAACAGACAATATCAGAATCAAACCTTAAAACCTAGCAAAGTGAACCTTGATAAACTTAATCCCTGGCAATATTATGTCTGCAAAGAGGTTTAAGATTAAAAAATTAAGTCTCAGAAGATGTCACAATCTCATCTTAACCTCGACAACCTATTAAGATTGAGCCATTGCAAATTAAGTAAGGTCCCATTCATTCAACCTAACCTCAAAACTAATTGTTATAGCCTTTCCAACTTGTAACCCGATTATAACTTAATTTTCCATCTCTTACCATTCCTCGTGTATGTGAAATTAGAATCAGATGAGATTTATGTCCGACTATAAAATAATTAAAGACTACAAATAGGATTAAATGCTTTCAGTATCCATTCCTGAAAGGTACACAGAGAGACACAGAATATATCTTTATCATAAAAATAATAAAAATAGAAATAACATATAAAGAAAATAAAACTTTCCGTAAGCTTCTTTTTTTTCTCATCTGAAGGTAGAAAGAGCAACAAGACCATAAAAAAATACTATAAAAAAAAACTTTTTTTTAAAAAAGCACGCTTTTATTTCCGATTACAGTGCACTAAAAAGGAGGAAATAATTTTTTTCTAAGCACTCAAATATGATACAAAATTTTATGACTAAACATAAAAGCGTGGGGCGTTCTTGCATATGTCACTAAATCTTGAATTTGTGAACGATCTCAAAATGTTAAAAGGTCTTTCGTTTACAGAAGTTGCATCAAAAAATTAAAAATTACAATATAGTGTGAATAAATTATAGAAAATCTAGAGCAGGTTTAAATTGAACGCCCCACGCTTTTATTTTTAATCATAAAATTTTGTATCATATTTGAGTGCTTAGAAAAAAATTATTTCCTCCTTTTTAGTGCACTGTAATCGGAAATAAAAGCGTGCTTTTTTAAAAAAAAGTTTTTTTTTATAGTATTTTTTAATGGATAATTAGTAAAGAATGTCAAAATTCTTCATTCGTTTTAAATTATTTAAGTCATACCTGAAAACACATAAAACTATTTAAAAATGTCCTAACTTCAATTAAAGATTTTGTGTTTATCCGGGCCATTCCTACTACATAACGTGTGGATTCTTTACATAAAGATGCAAATCCCATCTTTATGTAATTTGCATATAACCGATTTTCAAATTTAAATTCAATGAATGTCATTTATATGTTATGCAAAAATACGTCATGCCGTTAAAAGAGAAGTCTATTTAATTAAATTGGTGAAGTGTTATAAATAATGTAATACATTTAAAACAGCATAAATTTATGCTCAAAATATGTGTGCTAAATGCACATCTCATATTAATAGTTATTTTGCATTAATCCGAAACGGACTTATGCTTAACGGTTTTTTTGAAAATTCAAATTTTCACTTACGAATATTCATGAAAAAATCACTTGTCAATTTTTTCATCCTCCCAGAAAATCTTTAGCTGCTCAAAATTATAGTATAATTAATAATTAGTAATAATAATTAAACTATAATGAATCTTATAAATGACTGTTGAGTATTTCAAGTGTAATATTTTAAACAAATCAAAATTTTATATCATTGACATTGGATTTTTTTCCCATATAAAAATTTTTTACTAAAATTGTATTATAATTAAGCATTTTTGTGTTTCCAAAGTGTTAAAATATTGTATTGTCATGGAGAATACGTGTGCATTTAAAATTTGAGCTCTATTGGAGCAGTGAAAGTGGTCGTAAAATCGATTACAAGATTTGACTCAGACAAACAGTGTGAGTTAAATAAAAGCGTGTAATAATAATAAAATAAAAAAGTCCTGAAAGAGATTAAAACGAGTAAAGTACGAACAATTTGATGATTCCTAATTGCATCAACAGAAAAAGAAACGGTAATATTACGTTTTGCTCTTTGTACCAGATAATCCAGCTTCCAATTTAATTTTCAATATAGCCGAAAGGAGAACTGAAATGAAGATGGAGATGCAATAAAGAAATATCTATTCAATTCTCGTCATAGAGACACTACTCATTTTATTCGTAATTCTATTATTTTATTTTTGTGGAACTTTTTCCTTTTTCCGGACAGGAAAATCAGCGCATGGAAAATTGCTTTTTGGTTGGAGAATCATAAAAATATGACAAAAGTTTTTTCTTCCTTTTTATTTTACTATGAATTTTAATGACTCGACATTCTGTTGCAAATTTAAATTGCACCTCATTATGGAGATATTGAGGGATGGAAAATATGAAGGAATGGATAATATGCTAGGAGTGACAATCTTTATGTAAGTGAATTTGAGTTATCCAATTAAACCAGAGTAAGTGGTTGATTAAGATGTTGAAACTTAGCTACGCCTGGAGACATTTTAGGTCACTTATATGCTGAAATGACTTAGTGAGCTGTTAAAACACGTTAAAAAAATGATTAATGCTTGAGCCCCTGAAAAACGTGTTACTGAACTAAGAATTGTGGATTCGAAACTCATTTAGGCAACTGCTTTGCTTCCCCAAATCAATCGCAACATAAACAGAGCTCACAACTTTCCCAATAAATGCTGCATAATCAAATAACATCTAATGAGCAGTTTAAATATTACTATAAGCTGTGGAACTTCTTGAACCGTACCTACATTAATTGGCTATTCTTTATTCACATCATGACTCCCATTTGGACCTTAATTGCAGAAAATACCCAGCCTATCAGTCATGATAGCAATATTAAAGCTATCCCATCAGCAACATATTCCAATTTACCAAAAATTAACTCAGCTAAGTTCAAAACCAAAAAGTTCCCATTTCAATTCACAAACACATAAAAAAGGGGATTTGATGGAAGATGACAGAATAATAAAAAATGATGGAGATAATAAATGTCTCTCTATTTTCTCTACTTCTTCTTTCATCATCATCACAACGCTGTTTTAATGAGATGAAGCTTAATTTTCTGTGTAATTTTCACACCTCATCACAAACATCCTGAAAAGTGCATAAAAATGGCACGAATGAATGCCTTTTTTCAGCATCATCATCAAGATCATTATCATTATCATTATTTGCAGTGCATAAAAGAGCTTATAATCAACATGAATGAATTATTTTCATTATCATCGTGTGGATGGTTGGAGGTTAGAGATGAAAATGGCGGGAATGTTGAGATCGTTAGGGCGCTATATACTTTGTAAATGTAGGTCATTTCGAGGACAACGTGTCAAGCTTTTTGATGAGGTTTATTTGAATGATGAGGATATAAATAAGCAGCATTATCAGGACATTATTGGCTTTATTAAGGACATTGGAATTCTAGCATAGGGGACTTGGGATGGTACAACAGATCATCGATCGCAGTGCCGCTTTTGCTATTAGCAAAATCCTACATTACATTCTATTCTTGGGCGCTACGGGGTATAGCTAGGCTACTTAAGGTTTTTTTTGCTTACTTTTGAAAAATGAAGAGCTTTAAAGTGAATTTTTGTAGATTTTGGTAGCTTCAGCCTAGCAAGAGCTAGAGTTTAGGAAATGGGAGGAATTTACAAGCTCATCAGCTAGTTGTGAGTTGAAGAATATGGACATCTAAACATTTATAGACTATTTATTGATAACAAATCAGAAATCAAATTAAATGATTTTAAATAAGGTTCAAAACCTTTAAAAACATGAAATAAAACATGTTAAAAATTTCACAAAAATCTAGAAAAATTTCGACCCAAAATACGCAGCTTACCAACCACAGCTTGGTCTAATTTTAACAGCACCATTAAAAGCCACTCTCCATTAAAAAGCAAAACTGCGAATATATTTTTTTACCACCCAGAAAGTTCACTGTAATAGAAAATTTGATAATTTATGACTGAATATCATTAAAAATACTAAAATTAATCTCATTAATTTATTAGCTAAAATTTATTATTATTATTACAATTGCTATATTTTTCATACAGACATGGCCACATAAAACATAAAAATTAAAATAAAACTGAAAGGAAAAAGTTGTTATTAAATTACAAAATATCAAAAAAAGAGAAGTTTCTATAGGAACATTGAGCTCCATTTTTAATCTACTAGTATTAATTTTAATATCACAGTATTTTTTTTTTCTTCTTCATCATCCTATCTATAAAAAAATTTTAATTTGTCATAAGTTGATTTCTTTCAGCTAATATTATACGATGGGATTAGTTTATAATGTATTTAAAAAACTTGAATTATTCACAACATTGAAAAAACTTTTCACTTTTAGTTTTTAATATGAGCAAAAAAAACTGCAATTTTCTAGCAAATTTCTCTCTAAAGCTTTTTCTGATTCGCATGCAATATAAAAATTGATTCAATTAAAAAAGTTTGCTCTTTTTGCTCATCTTGTTATTCTATTTTTGGCAAACATACATGGACTTTTTTCAGCGCACTTTTCGTTTTCATAATTTCGAAGTATTTTTGAGCATTTTAAGAGATTAAGTGTTTTAGATTTTTTTTGCGGATGTGACTAATTTGATAAGCATTGAGTCAAATTGTCAATTCAAACAAAAAAAAAATTAACGAAAATGTTCGAGCAAGTTTAAATTTGTATCGCTCAAGAAATTGTGGGTTCGAATCCCACCCAAAAGTGAATTTTATTGATTACCATTTCACAAAAGGAACGTTCTTTTGCAAAAATTACCCTTCCAACCTCTTTTTGCGCTCTAGTCACACCCAAAAACACATCCATACAAACTCGTCGACATTTTTAATTCACTTTCCTATTCATAGTCAATTGTATTAAAATCACTATGAACGAAAGCTTTTGTTAAACCTCATACAAAATGTGTAAGCTGATTGTAAAAGTCTAGCAAGCATAATTGAAGTTGTTGGGATGTTGGACGCTCGAATGTGGAAACAGCCCAGCAGTAAGCCATAATTGTGAATCTGTGAATGAAAAGAAAAATTGTGAATGAAAAAAAAACGTTTTTTTGTTCGTGCTGAAATTAATACTTACAGTTCATCGGGGCAATGAAGTGGCTGTGCTAATCGATATCCATCACGTAAATAATTTTCCATCTCAAAGGCATCAATCTATATAGGATATCCACAAAAAAAGGTATGAAATTTAATATTGTAAAGTGGAAATTATTTGAGTGCTTGTTCCTTACATCAATGTACGGCTGCTTTGCAAGTGTACACATTTCCCAGATAAGAACACCGAATGCCCAAGCATCAGATGCTTCACTAAATTGCTTCTTACTTAATGCCTCTAGTGAGAGCCACTTAATGGGACGATTTTCACGATCACCAAGACAATGATAATCTTGTGGAAAGAGATCACGTGACAATGAGTTGTCTGTTAATTTAACTGACAAGTCATCATCAATGACACAGTTCCTCGTTGCAATATCCTTATGGACAACACCATGAGCATGTAAATGACAAAGTGCACCAGCAAGTTCTGATGACATTCGAACGATTTGAATTGTTGTCAATGTCCTGGCAACTGGCTGCTGCAAGAATATCTTTAAATTAACTGTATTATTATCAGCAGGATAAAGTAAGAATGGTGCGGTATGATCCTCAATAGATACACCAAGTATAGCCAAAATATTTTCATGCAAAGCTCCATAAAGATGCATTCCTTCTTGCAAAAGCAATGAAACTTGAATTTCATTTGCCTGCTGTCCAACAGTCTTTACGATAACATCCTCAGTTTCATTGTACGTTCCACGATAGACACGTCCAAAAGTTCCTTCCTGCAATAAGCTTGACAAGCGAACGCGGCAACGTTGAACGGTAATTTCAGCAATGCGACGTTGTAGCTCTTCCGGTTCCGTACATTTTCCACGTGGCGTTGTTGGGCAAATCGAGGGAGATTGTGCCTGTGCTGTTTGTAGTCGCTGAAAACTAGAAGTTCGTGCTAGCTGTGTTACATGTGGCTTCCTCTTTGCTGGCTTCCGTGCACAGTAAGCGATGGAAATGAAAAGTACAACCACAATAATCGCAAGAAATCCACCCACAATGAGTGTCATGATATCATTCGATGGCTTGGGAATTGTTGTAAACATTGTCGCATTATCCATACTCTCGTCTACAATTTCATTCTGTAAGCAGATCTTCTTTCGTGTAAAAACCAATTCCGTGACATTATTTGTGGCTCGATTGAGTGTTATCTCAATGGATATTGTTACTTCCACTTCACTTGATCTTATGCCTGAACATTTCATTTCAATTGAAAAGGTTTCAATTTCTTGTGGCATCTCGCCAATCCGACTGATGTTGAGTTGAGGTCGTGGCAATACAGCAGGATCTGCAGTAACAATATTAATACGATACGGTAGCGTACGACCAGCTAAGCTCTGCCACGTAAACACGATATCATTAATATTCGCTGCAACTGGAACTGTGAATTGTAACGCATATTTATTTATATGTCCGTCCCGTACGTAGTACATCTCAGCTGAGAGTCCTGTGGAGAGATAAAGAAGAATTAGTGCTTAAGTTCTCATAAATCAAGGTTAGACAAATTCTTTTAATTAATTTTATATTTTTTGTTCCTTATTCAGTCTTCTCATTTTGGTCACGGCTTGCGGTAAAGAATTTCCAATAAAGTTGTCAATTAAAGTTTAATTCTATCTACATTGATTGCATGAAACAGAGAGAAGATAATTGGATTTTTTTTTGCTTTGCTCTCGCTTTGCCATGTCTCAAGGATTATATTGCTATAAGATTGCAAAGATTTCATTTCTATTCGAATGCATTTCTTTTGATTCCGAGTAATTTCTATTTTATTTTATTTTTTTCATTATTTTTTCATAGAACAAATTATTTCTCTATTAGGTATGTGAATAAGGAAAAGTGGATGAATAGGATGATGAAAAAAGAGTAGAGAGTATTAAATATCATATATTGTACTATGATGATTCTTTGATTGTTAAAGAATGAGAAACTGAGGATGGGAAAGATGAATAGCTACTGGTATGGCGGATTTTTTCAATAGACTATTTGTAATTTGAGGTAAGTATTGATAATTTAAGTAAGGACTGATTTGCACTGTAGACAGATTTGAGTTGTGAAATGATTAAATTTAACAATTCATAATTCTGAGCAGTTTTAATGTAATTTAAAACTATTGGTAAAATAAGCAGGTATAAATAGGTCTGCATAGTTTTTCAGGGGACAGTCCTCTATTTTTTTCAATTTTCAAATATAAAATAGTTTTGTTTTATTCTAATTCGTCCAGAAAACGAATAAAATTGGTAGACACGTGGGATGTCCTCTATTTTACTTTCAGGTCCTCTATTTTTTAGCGCATTTTTGAAACTTTCTAAAAGGTAACTTAATAATACACTTTGTTCGGCTGTTCGGCTGTTCGGGGCAAGAAAAACTTTTTAACCAGACATCGTCGAGAGCTCTGGTTTGTTTTATCAGCTCAGTTCTATCGAGTTATTGGCCTACCAAACAGTTAAAAGTCTTAAAACAGTGTATTTGTACTTTAATTAATGATTTTTTTATTTCATATGAAAAACACGTCATGGGTAAGTTTAGAAAATTGAATTATTTTCTACCGTTGTAACAATTGTAATCAGGGTGCGTCCAGAAATTCGAATTTTTTTAATCGGTAAAAGATTTAAATTCCAAAAAACCGTTAAATGATAAACCCTTTTCACTAAAATTAATGATCTTCTAATCTTCTAATGATCTGTAAATTAACGCAAAATAATTTGATAATCAAATACTAATCACTAACACAAAAATGCGCTTATGTCCCTCGATCAATAACACGGAACTTCTTTAATTTTTTTTAAATATCTGGTCACCCTAGATATAAACCAAAGTGTTGAGTTGTGGAGGAAAGATCCGTGGCTTTGAACAAACTTCCCCAGTCTGGTAAGACTACCATATTCTCATGAACGAACGAGGATTCGATCAATGCTTAACGACATTACAATCTTAGTGAGCTCTAACATCAAAAAAGCCACTTCTGTGTTTTATCATCAAAACTATCAAATTTTCAACAGACATCCTTTCTACAGATCAATTTTAATCAAATAATTTTATGTCTTCAATCAAATAAACTGTCGAATCCTAAATCAGTCCAATTATGAAAATTCGGATGAATTTCATCAGGGTCTGTTAATAAATGACGTTCAAAATTTAATCGGGGACCTTAACTGTGTGCCTTATAATTTCTTTTTAAAAAGTCGTGTGGGATTTTGGTCATGGTGTTCCCTGGCTCAAAAACTTTAGACAACACTAGTATAAACAAAATAGATTATTCTTCATACAAATTTTGTAACAAGTGATGAAGGAAATTCCAAAAAATTTACTTGTTTGATTGACATCATTTTAGAATAACCCCCCAAAACTAAACATTTCCGAACGAATCAATCAATTGAAAACAAAATTTCATCCAGGTAAGTTAAACATGAGAACATTTTTAATAATTTAATACGAAAATTGCTCCTCAAAAAAATCGTACATCCATCATAATTTCATGACCAGAAAAAAGAGAATTATCCTTACTTATTCACATCTATTAAATCAAAATAGAATGAGATGTGAAAATGGGATTAAATTTATGGTAAAATTATTTATGGAATAAAGCAAAGAAAATTAAATTCCTTTTCAAAACTAACAAGATGAAATAGAGTAGAATGGAATAGAAAGAAAAAGGAACAGAAAAAGATTGATTTCTTAATATCCTAATTTCTGAGGTTTCTCAGTGATCAATCTTCAATACAACATACAGCAGAGAAACCAATAATAAAATGTACGAAGTGCTGTGAATAAAATATAAAAAGATATCGGATTATCAGGTCTTATACCTTCTTTAAGTACAGAAAAAAAAATTCTTTTTTTTTCAATTTATTAAATTTCCTTAAAGCCCTCCCGTGCATTGAATTGAAGCATAAAATGTGAGGATTCCAGGCACGGCATTTTTACGCAACATCTAATTCCTATTAAATTTATGATTAATTTCATTTCAATCCGCAATATTACATTTCTGTCTACCTTTTCAGGTAATTCATAGACATACGCACAAATACACATGTATGTGAATATTTGTTATTGGTTAGGTTAGTTGGGATTTGGGATAAATTGTTACGATATGTATAATCCACATATTTTTTTTTACCTTCGTTTACATTTGTGAATATTTATTGGAATTATTATGGGTTCAAGGAAAGAAGAAACATTCAATTTTCATGAACATAACAACATAAATAAATTGGGACGTACTAGGATGTGTGGTGCGTTAGGAATTGTTGGCATATGGCTGATATAGCTAGTCAATAAGCTAACCTAAACCTATCTTAACTTTTGCAGTGTTGCAAAATACTTCAGTCATAAACCAGGGATGCGGAACTGATGAAATGAAGCTTGATCATTTTAATCAGTTCCATATTCTTAATAAAACCTCAATTTTTCGTAAACTTTAAATTATTTTTCATCTTTTTCACATCAAACAAAAAATTATTCCCAAAAAAATTTTTGTTCATTCAGACGCATCTAATTGGCATCACTTGACAATTTCCATGACACTCTCTCACCTTCTAAGTGCTCTCGAAGACAAAAAGTCTCAAATTTCATCGCAAATATACAAAATATCAAATTAATGGCATAAAAATATCAACTGAAGAAGCAGAAAAGGTGTCAAGAAGTTCTTCATTTTATTTAAAAATTTGGAAATATCTGAACCAAAAAGTAATAGATGAACCTTTCTGAGAATATTTAGAGTCTTTTTTAGATCGATTATTTTTACCTAGAAAATAATGTCATTTGAGATTCTTTTGTTTTGCTTACTTTTTTGTGACTCGGATTTTAAGATGGAAGGTAAATTGCTAGGAATTGATTTGAGATAGGATTGAAAATTGACCTATCTACACTGAGATGTCTTAGTAGATTTAATGTAAGGGTATTTAGCCATATGTTGTCAATGCACATGATGGATTGAAATGGCTGAGAGGTTAAGAAATGGTTCAATAATCAATATTCTCTGTGGTTTAGAAGAACGAGGGTTCGAATCTCAGAAACTAACGGTTTATTTAATACGTACATCAGATTTGATATAAAAAAGGATTTAATAGCATTAGGAGTGTTTCACTAAGCCACAAGAATTCTAAATTAACAAAATGAATCCAAAACTGTCAAACTTACAGAAATTACTTTAAATTCACTCCCTTTATCCCCAAAACAATATTCTTTAAAGAAATCACCCCCAAAATATTCATTTAAAAGACAACCCAATCCACCACCCAATTGACATACATACTAAAAAAATCAAAGTCATCCACATTGCAAACAATAAAGTACATCGACATGAAATTATATAAACAACAAGTAAATATCCCTCATATACATATCTTGATGTCTGCTAGGCAAACAAAATAATAAGAATAAAAAGCATAAACATTTTTTCTAAATTGTGTGAAGGTCTTGCGTGCCTGCATTATAGAATCAAATCGAATTTTTTTTACATAATTTGTTTATTCATCCAATTTAGTTATCGACGTTTAGGATAGAAAAAAAAGGAATAAGAAGAAAATTGAAATGACCCCAAAAAAATTACGATATACGATACGATAAATTGAATAGATGGATGGGTCGATGATGTAATGGACGAAATTTGCTTTTACAATTTAAATCGAGACGATTACAAGAAAGCAGCACGAGAGTGAGAGATAGAGTAAATTGGAATGTATGACGAGCAATTTGTGAAGCGATAGAATGAACATCTAAATAAATATTGATTCAGGACTCCATTTAGATTATTGGTAAATGATCAAGTTTCAAGAATGAACACAAAAATAATAATCCACATGTCAAGGGAACAACAGGGTAATTCCATGAGTAATGAGAACTGTGAAAAAGCACTATACAATATTTCTCTACTTGTAAAAATTCAAATTTCCCAAAACCGTTATAATTTCTTAACGTTTTGTTGTTTTTACAAGTGAATTAGCCGCAATATCATCAAAGAGAGATGGTACAAATATATATGATCTTTAATGTTTTGAAACTTGAGTTACTTGCTCCATTAAATCAAATAAATCTAATAAACTTACAAGTAAAATCAAGAAAGTCTAACGGTTTTTGTGAATTTGAAATTTTTTCAGTGTTCTGTTTTGCAATAATCGGTCAAAAATTGACCGATTAATGCTAGTGTTTTTGGTTTTTCTTCTTAATTACAGCATTAAGGAATGCAAATTATACATAAAACAAAAGCCTGGCTAATATCTAATATGTTAAAAGTAACTTTGGAACATAGAAGTGTGTATTTAAGTAAATATTAGGAAATGTTTAGAAAACGATTTTTCGAAAACTTGACCGATTAATTTTACTTTTATTAAAAAAATAAAAATTAGACATATTTCTGATGTGAAATTCTCACATATGGAGATAAATATTGTGTTAATAAACATAATAAAGTTACAATTTGGAGTACAAAGTTCTTAGTTAAGGAAA